TCCTCATTTGTAAGTCGCTTTGGATAAAAGCGTCTGATAAATGACTAAATAAATAAAAATGATTGAAATCAAATCTTTGGATTGCTGACAGGAAACACTGGAAAACAGGGAAAAAAACATATAATCTAAAAAAAAAAAAAGCATATACATAAATCCAAATAGGAAATAAAACAGTTAACGAATAAGCATGTGTCCTAAACTCCTGAAACATTGATGTCTCATATTTTAAAGCAGTCAATGCAATTTAGGAAAGATATCAATTGTGTGTGTGTGTGTGTGTACGGGGAAAAAAATAACAGTTAAACAAAAAAAAGCATATACATAAATCCAAATAGGAAATAAAACAGTTAACGAATAAGCATGTGTCCTAAACTCCTGAAACATTGATGTCTCATATTTTAAAGCAGTCAATGCAATTTAGGAAAGATATCAATTGTGTGTGTGTGTGTGTGTAAAAATTCAGTTGTAACCCCCTCTGTAATAATTAACATTTTCATAAGTAACTAATTTAATTACACATTTTTTCTCAGTAACTGTAACTGATTACAATTACATTTATTTTGTAATTAAATTATGTAATTTAGTTAGATGTAACTAGTTACTCCCCAACACTGCATATATCCTTGGCTATTTTTCCACAAATTTATTCAGACTCATTTATTAATATATTGTGTAAACCAATGACTGACATGTGAAAGACTCTTTTATATAGACTTAAAACGTTCTTTGCTTTAGGCAGGTTTTCATAGCACGAACTGATTTATTACCTCAAACTGTTCTAAAACGGCTGGGCTGTCTGGGACGCAACGGCAGCTTTTTCCACCTTTTGTCCACAAAATGTCGTTGTGTGCACCGTCCTGAAAAGCTGCTAGTAATGAACCGTTTACGATACAGTTGAGGGGAAAGCCTCAACTTTACATCGCTTGTAAACCATATAAAATAGACTGAACACGTTTGTATGAATTCAAACACTTTAAACGATTAAGACCACAAACCTTTCTTCAGCTGAAACGCAGACGCAGGAGCGCGGCGCAGCCTTATGACGCCTTAGCCTTAGCCTTATCAAAATAAAAGTCCTGTCTACAATCCAGAAAGTGCTTAGATATTTACATAAAGGAAACACGTACGAATAATAAAACATATGTCTTTATTCTTGGTGAAATACATGTTGAAATATATATATATAAAGAAAAAACTACAAATATTTACAAATTATAATATTTATAATTGTATTTCCTTATTTATGTATTATTATATTTTTCCTAATGCATTCATTCATTCATGTATTTATGACAAACATCTATTTCCACAATTATTTATTTCCATGTTTATTCATGCATTTACTTCATTTTGTGTTTTTTTATGCATTATGTCGACATTTATTTATTTCCAGATTTATTTACATTTATTTATTTAGTCCTTTCTTTGCCACAGTAGCACCTTGTGGTGTGACCAATTAAAAAACAATTGCTTTTTAAAAAAAATCAAAAGCACCAAGAAGGCGGCTGTGTAGTTGCAACTTTTCCGTCTCACAAACTTTCATGCAAATCTTCATCTTATTTGATCTTCCTTACTTTTATGCTTCACTGATACAAGTATATCTACATATTAATGATTCTGTAATGATTTTAAGTTTGAGTTGAGAATATTTACTGTATTTTAGCCTGTTAGAACAAAATGTGTCTCATGGCTAGTTGAGTGTGTTGATTGAAACTAGCCTTCACGTGTTGCCAAAAGGTAACCGGAGACAAATTGAAGGAATGATAGAAAGTGTGAAGCATGTGGAAGATTATGCTAAACTCACTTCCGAAGAGGATTCGAGCAATTTGATGCTTCTGCAGAGATCAGGCACGGATGCCCTTCCCATAGGTTTTGTACTTAATTCTATTCTTGCTTAGTTATCCTTCTGCCTTTGTTCAATGTCTATTAACTTTTTTTGTGTTTTTCTCTTAATTTGTGGGGAATTCAAGCTCTTACTAAAGGAAAACCCTTATTTTATTTTAAAATACTAAAAGAAGAGATGATTTTATTTTATTTTTTATTACAAGAAACTCATTCTAGTGTTAATGATGAGTCTTTTTGGTCAGCACAGTGGGAGGTAAAACTTTATTTTCACACTCATTCTTGGGGAGTTGTAATGTTTTTTAACCATAATTTTAATGGTAAAAATTCTTGAGTCTCACTTATCTTCAGAGGACAGATGGATAACAGCTGTTGTTCAGTCTGGACAGGCTGCTATTATTTTATGCAACATGTATGGCTTTAAAGGTCCCATATTGTACACCTTTCTGGAGTTTTATTTGAGGTTTTGATGTCCTTAAGAATATATATTTGCGGTATAAGTACCAAAAACCATCTCAATATATTTTTACAGCTCCTCTCTCAGGAGCTCTGCTGCAGATTTAAAGCATATAGCCGGTGTTACTGCAGGGTACCCGGCTGCTTTAATTGTAAACAACGACACACTGCCTCAGTTTTCACGATTTCCTGACACAACACGAATTGAGGAAAGCATGGATGAGACTGATGCGGAGGGATGAAGGTCCTTCTAAAGCCCAAAACACACTGCACGATTTTAGCAATCCTATAAGATCAGTGCACGTCACACTGTGCGACATGGATCTAATAAACGTGGCTACGATGACTGTACGATGATGACACCTATTGACTCGTACACTACGACACGCGTTACTATAGAAGAATATAGCGTCATCAGCATGCGCTAGTGGTAAACAAAAAGAGCAAGATAAATCACACTTTAGCTGTGTGTGCTGAAAAAAAGTGGAAGCGGCGAAAGAGGAAGGCATAAGAGCTTGAGGTAAGCAGTTTTATGTTTTAGCGCCATGTCGCGTTGATTTTATGTCGCATTTTTATTGGTTGGTCAGTATACGTGGATCGTAGCAGCAAACACACTGTGCGATGATCATGCTGTATCGTAGGCTATCTTTGGTCGCAAGACCGTGACAACGGCCGTATTTGAACCTCTCTCACTGTACGACATAAGAGCACAGATTAGGAGCCACGATCACAGAAATCACCACGATTGTTTCACGATGCAAATCTTTCGTCTGGGACAGCTGAAAATCGTGCAGTGTGTTTAGGGCTTAAAATATTACAATAATAAATACATTTATTTCCCAACTAACCTGCTGCAGTCAAGTTCGTCTTCTCATTAACAATGTTTTTCTCTTACTGATCATATTTCATACCTGTTTACATTTTTTAAATACATTTGACTGATAAACACCCTTACAAAAATTAACCTTGGTTTTACTATAGTAAATATGCAGTGGTTTGTCTGCACCGATGGCCTCGTGGGCAGCGTGCCGACATGTAGCGCCTTTGCGTTTCGGGCGTCCCGAGTTCGAGTCCCGGCTCATTTTAGCCATGTTACAAACACCCAAGGAATGAATTAGAACACATGTGCAATTTGTACTTTTGTCAGTAAATTCTGAACAATTCAAAAGCGTATTTTAAAGACAAATGTTCAAGAGTATTTGTGATTTTGTTAGATAGACAATGCAGTTTACAGTGCTGTACAGGATAGTTTTTTACAGGTAGAAAGTAAATTTTATTTAAATATAGCTTAACTCAAATTGAAAATAAATATATAGTAATTATACTATAATGAACATACAGTGTATATATACACTGTAAATAAAAATCAGTAATTATACTGTAAATGTAAATGCAGTAATTTTACTGTAATACTACAGTATTACTACTGTGAACTTATACTGGAATACTGTAAATACTATAATGTCAGTAAATTCTTTCATTCTTCCAAATATCTTCCTTTGTGTTCAACAAAACAAAGAAATGTATACAGGTTTAAACAACTTAATGATAAGTAAATTATGACAGAATTTTCATTTTTAGGTTAACTATCCCTTTAAACTTGTTTTAATTATTCAGTTTGAATTAAAGTATGGTTTAATATATAAATATATATATATATATATATAAACAGCACTTTCTTTATCAAAGTATGACTGAAACAATATGATTGGAGCTGTTTTTGTTTACCGTTAACATGCGAATCCCCATGTTAAACTTTCAAGACTTTAAAACTTTACATTTGTTTTTAGAAGTTGGTCGGTTATTTCTTTACAAAGACAACTATAAAGTTTGTATGTAGCTTTGTAGCTGCTGCTGTGACGCTGTACAAACACTTCCAGTGTGAATACTCTCGTGACCTCGTGAATACACTCACTCACTCACCACCCATTCAGAACAACCCCCCCCTCCAAAAAAAAAAAAATCAGTAATAAATAATCAGTGAGGAACTCATACCTCAACAATAAACCATGAGAAACCATGCTCAAGTATGTAATGTAACTTACAACAGAACATATTAATATTGTCATTTTAAATTTGATTATTTATAATTATTAATTATTATTAGTCTTTTTTGACAGTTCTGCAGCTGTTACCTGGAAGGGATTTGTTTAAATTAGGACTACATTATTATGTAATTAATTGACCCATTTTTTAAATATAAATAATTTAGCTTTTTTTTTTTTTACTTTTTAAAATGCCAACTTGTATATGACATATATAATTATTTATTATGCATATATTTATGATTAATATAAATGATAAATGAATATATACAAGGTCTAATATTAAATATAATCTATTAATTAATCTGTCTAATAATGAAAAGTATAATAATTATGTCTACCAAGCTCTGATAATGTATGGAATATTATATTAACAGACTATCCAAATTTTTATAAAACAAGTTCACCCAAAAAATAAAATTCTGTCATAATTTACCCACATTCTTCAAAGTATCTTCTTTTATGGTCAACAGAAGAAAGAAATGATTACAGGTTTGGAACAACTTGTGGGTGTGTGAACGATGACAAAATGTACATTTTTTGGGTGAACTGTCCCTTTAAGTCAGACCGTGAACAACTGAAAGCTTCTCTGCGAACTGTGCGTTCATCATTAGTTACTGGACAACTTTCCCATTCACCCCTACTGTAACATTTGGTAGTATAAATCACTCGTACGATCAATCATCAGCCCACGTCTCGCCGCTAGTCAGACACCGCTACGTCACGTAACAGCAACAAAAACATGAACAAACACTGAACGATTGTCTTTTTATTAACTAACATTAACACAGATTAATAAATGTATTGTTCCATGTTTGTTTGTATACCGCGCGCAAGGTTTATGCGCACAGTCGGTATTTAGAAGTGCCCACGATAACAATATCGTGCATATTCATTACCGTGATATATCGCATTACCGAATACCGGCACAAGTCTAGTCTGGCATGTATACTACATCGTTTTGTGTCGGTTTTGAGGTTTCGTGTGGACGCAGATATTTCTTGAAACGAGGAAAAAAAAAGATCGGATAGGGAGAGCTCTGGATTCGTGTGGACGTAGCCTAAAACCAGTGAAAACACAGAACAGACTAGACACCTACATCTGGAGAGCCTTGTGTTCAAATAGCGGATGTGAGCTCCTAGATGTTTTAACGCATTCTGATTCATCAACACAGTTTCGCTGATGATTTATAATAAACCCTAAACCCAGGATAGAGCGGCTGAGTGAATGTGGTCTGGACTGTGTGGATGAGGCTCATTGTGTGAGAGACGCTGTAGAAGGACAGAGTTCCTGCACTGTGATCCACAAACACTCCTATTCTCCTGACATTATCACCATACACTCCTGTTCTCCTGCTGATGGGCTTCACAGGGAGAACAGTCTCTGTCTTATTGTGTGTGAATGTGTAACTGGATTTAGAGCAGCACAAACTCCAGGACTGATCATTAAATCCAAACACACACTCATCACCTCTCTTCCTGCTGGTGCTCTTATATGACACTGATATATACACAACACCACTCCACTCAATCTCCCAGTAACAGCGTCAAATTGTGTCAGAGACGCTGTAGAAGGACAGAGTTCCTGCACTGTGATCCACAAACACTCCTATTCTCCTGACATTATCACCATACACTCCTGTTCTCCTGCTGATGGGCTTCACAGGGAGAACAGTCTCTGTCTTATTGTGTGTGAATGTGTAACTGGATTTAGAGCAGCACAAACTCCAGGACTGATCATTAAATCCAAACACACACTCATCACCCTTCCTGCTGATGCTCTTATATGACACTGATATAAACACCTCAACACCTCTCCACTCAATCTCCCAGTAACAGCGTCCACACACTCTCTCTCTGCACAACACCTGAGACACTTCAAATCTGTCTGGATGATTACGATAAAGCTGCTCTGTGTCAGTGCATGTAATCACTCTGTTCCTCTCAGACAGACAGAGGTATTTATTCACTGAGCTTGTATCCAGTGTGAGCTGATGGGAATCTGCTGAAGAGAAAAAAAATGAAAGAATAAGGAATTATGAATCTGATCTTTTAATGTAGCTGAAACCTTCATGACCTCTGTTTAATATCATCAGTGTCTCAGTACCAGGTATCTATCATTGCATGTAGAATGTGAATACAGGGAGTTTTTATGATTGTTTCCTTAGTGACTTACATTGTAGGAAGTCGTTCCTGGTCCTGGGAACAATGTTGGTGGAAGTGACTGGAAATCAACAGACATGAACAGTGTGATTCTCATGATCCTGCATCCATTCCTAAGACATTTCTAATATGAGGTTCTAAATGATATGAGATGCTGGAGGACTCATTTCTCAGAGCAGGACTATACCTGTGTCTGAGAGCTTCTTGAGCTCCTCTTTGCAGAAATCCTCCAGTTTGTCTCTCAGCTGACGGACAGATTCTCTCACACCATCAAAAGAGAAGAGAGAACTGAAAGGAACGATGGGTTCATCTGTAGATTCAGGAGGTGCTGAGACGGACTTAAATCTCTACAGAGAACAGAAATCAAAACCCATGAGCTCCACACTTCACCCAATAACCTGCATTACTATCAGATTTGTGTGGCTTTTGTTGACTTATCATTAGTAACTCGCCTCAATCCAGCACTTTCACAGTATCTTCTCATATTTATTATATTACATTAGAGCTACAAATTCTAGTAATTGCCACTTACACTATATGTGAAGTTCTAGGAAACAGTTTGGATGATAAAATATCTGCTAAGAACATAAATACCATAAATGTCCATTTAACAGGTCAAGAACATCAATGGTGTCACATTGCAGGATAGATTTGCTCAACAAAAGCAGTATGCTACAAGTAGATTTACCATTATTTATAATTTTCTTAAAACTTCACAAGGACTCTTAGGACACAGTCACATATATACTTCCAAATGCAAATGGCACACTTAGAATCAACTTAATTGATGTAGAAATAACGAAAGAATAGCCAACGCCTGTCCACGGAACAGCTTTTGAGTCAATTGTCCAATTACTTATGGTCCATTGAAAAAGGGGGAGGTACATATTAAAGAGCTGTAATTCCTTAACCTTTCCTCCAATTTTGATGAGAGTAATACACACACACCGTTCAGTTCTTCTTTATCCGGTATTATTTGTGAATGTGACTACGCTACCTCGTGTGTTCTCCTGCCCTGTCTGAATCGACCCCTTGTTGTGGAATAATTAAAGTTTATTGGAAATTCTTCTTCATCGTCGTCTTCGAGCGCTCTTTATTCACACCGTAGTGGGACAATATATACAGTGGTGTGAAAAAGTGTTGGCCCCCTTCCTGATTTCTCATTTAAAACGAAAAAAATTTAATTTGTTCACTCCAAGCAGAATCAGTATTTTTAACATTTCTGTTCCTGCGTTCCTTCTGTATTAACATTCCGAAACCAGTTTGATTAGAAAAAGTACCAGTTAATAGTGTTTTTTTTTTAAATGTAGCCTAGTTTATAATAATAATAATAAAGTACAGCATTTTCTTTATTCAAAAACCTTCAAGTCATAGTGCTACAGTCATCTTTTATAACAACATTTTGTCCAAATTTTGGCCCTATGAAATTAAAGGAAAAAGGAAATGGGTTTAAATAAATTAAAGTAGCTATTTTTTCAAGATATTTTAAAATGTTTGCTGCATGGTTAAATATATGTAATGATATAGGCCAGGGGTGTCCAACCCTGCTCCTGGAGAGCTACCATCCTGCAGATTTAAGCTCTAACCCCAATCAAACACACCTGAACCAGCTAATCAAGGTGTTCAGGGTTGCTTGATAATTACAGACAGGTGTGCTGGAGCAGGGTTGGAACTAAAGTCTGCAGGACGGTAGCTCTCCAGGAGCAGGGTTGGACACCCCTGATATAGGCTATAGCCTAATAATTGTCATAATATCCAGCTGGTGTGCCCTCTTTAGCCACTAGAGAGCACTTCTCCCTTCACGGACATTCTGTTACAAACACCATTTCCCAGACTACATTGCTGTCTCATGTGAGATGATTGTTTGCACCTGCATCCATTTGGATCATTAGGGTCCTGCCTATATAAGCTGTTGCTGCGTCTCAATGTGCCTACTTATACTACGCCCTTAAAGTATGTACTCTTTTGGTGAAGAAAAAGTACACACTTTTGAGTGTGTAGTAGAAGAGTAGGCAAGCTCGTCACACAACTGCGTCTTTAACGGACGCTCTGTCGCATAGATACACGCACCCTGTCACTGTAAACTGTTAACACAGATAACATTAAATAAATATTTTTTACCAGGTTCAATGTTGAATATTAGTAGCTCAAACCCCTTTTTCTAAGCCTCTCTACCTAACCGCCGGTTGTGCACATCCGCCATGTTTGTAGTTTTTTAACGCATTTTATTCATGTTTGTAGTTCTGGACAGAATCCTTCACCAAAGCGCAATGGATTGTGGGCAATATTAGCCATTAGGGTGTGCACGGATCCACACTTCAAAAATCGACCTGAAATAGTAGACCATCCGGGGACTTTTGGCATACTCTTTTCAACATACTATGCTTTAAAACACACTTATTCTAATCTCACATACTATTTAGGATGGATAGTATGAACATTGAGATGCAGGGTGTGTTTGTCACTACCATTGACATTGAGGTTTTACATTGTTACACTGCCTTCTGAGTTCTTTCGGTCTTGTTTATGTTTCATGGTTTTTGGATCTCTTGCCTGGGGCCCATTCTTCGTACCTCGCTTAATTCATCTGAGATGATTTGAAAGTAGTAATGGGAGAAACGAAGCTTTTCGAAGCATTGAATCAATTGAACCAATTGCTTCGAAAAATGATTTGATGTTTCGAAGCACTTGAAAGAGCACATGCTGGCGAAAACGTTGTAAAAGCATCAAGAACTCAGACCAAACCAGAGCCGTAGAGAGACGGCTCTACGGCTCTGTCTGGACCAAACTTACAAAACAAATGGAAATGTCTTTTTAGAAATACCATTTCAAAATATAAATAATAAACACTTAAGTATTGTTAAATATTAGTGCTTGTGTTATGTGTTTTATTTAAGTATAATCAAACCCTTAACACACAATTAACTAAATTAATTATTTAATGCCACTCATTGTAATATGCTCTTTCTCAAATAATCTAGTTCTCCTCCTACTCAATAACCCACAACATCTGGCTCTGAATTCTTTATTTTTATAGTAAAATTTCGTGGGATTTCATGTCACATAGTTAACTGGGCAACCAGAAGTGGTTCATGGGTTCACTTTGAGATCAACACCCCCTAGTGGTGAACCATCGGAGTTTCGAAACAGTGTGACGTAACGAAGCTTCGTTTGCTAAAATCACGTGACCTGGCCGGTTTGATACGCGCTCCGAAACATTGATTTGAAACAAAAGATTCGCAAATGTTTCGACGCTTCGTGAAGCAGTGTTTCGAACACACCCATCACTATTTGAAAGATTACAGATCTTCTAGTCATGATAACTGATCTCTGGCTGCTATAATTGTATTGGAGTCTTACACACATGCTGTACAGATAATGTAAAGTTATTATTTCATCATGAATAAATCTTTCAGTGAGTAAAACTGGCTGTGTCTATAGTATTATTGACTACACAACATTATTATTATTTTCAAATTAATTTTTTAATTATTATTGTAAATTACTGTCCCTGGATCAGTAGGGTACTCTTCTAATAAAGTAGCAGTGGCTGGGACAGATTTTAAGTATCAATTCTGCTTAAAAAGATGCGATCTAATCCTGTCTACATGAAATAAGCTGCTCCCGAGCAGGTTTAAGCTCACGGACCTGTTGCTATGAAGCAACTCCGGGATGAGCTTCGAAGAACCAACCAATCCAAGATCA